TAGCATGTATGAGATCCTGGGTTGGAACCCCAGTACAGCAAGAAAAAAGCAGAGAGAGACAGACAGACAGAGAGAGAGAGAGAGAGAGAGAGAGAGAGAGAGAGAGAGAGAAAGACCCATGGAATGGGAGAAACTATTTCCAAATCATATTAGTGATAAGGGCCTTGTAGTCATAGTATGTAAAGAACTACAACTCAACAATAAAAAGACAATCTAATTTTTGAAAGGACAAAGGATTTGGTCATCGATTTCTCCCAAGTAAATGTACAAACAGGCAACGAGTATATGAAAATATGGTCAATTTCCAGGTGTGGTTGCATGTACCTATAATTCCAGGGCTCTGGAAGGCTGAGGCAGGAGGATCACAAGTTTGAGCCCAATTTGGGCATGGTGGTGCATGCCGGTAATTCCATTACTCAGGAGGCTGAGGCAGGAGGATTGTCTTGAGTTTAAAGCCAGCCTCGGCTAAATAGTGAGTTCAAAGCTAGCCTGCACTATAATGCAAGAGCCTGTCTCAAAACAAAAACAAAAACAAGTTTGAGTCCGACCTTGGCAACTTGGTGACTTAGTGAAACCCCATCACAGAACAAAAAGGGTTGGGGATGTAGCTCAGTGTGATGGGGGTTTGAATCTTTGGTACCCCAGTACCAAAGAGGGAAAGAGAAAAGAAAAGAAAAGAAAAGATGATTAACTTCACTAGTCAGCAGAGAAATCCAAATCCAAATCACAGTCACATATCACTTCACACTCTTAGGATGGATAAAATCAGGAAAGAGACTATTATTGGTATTAGTAACAATGTGGAAGAATTGGAACCATCATAGATTTCTGGGGGGAATGTAAAATGATAGAGCCACTTTGGAAAGCAGTTTGGTAGTTCTTCAAATTCTTACATGTTATTATATGACCCAGCAATTCTACTCCTAGGTATATACTCAGTAAAGTACAAACCTGTACTCAACAAAACATATATGTGAATTTTCATAGAAGCATTATTCTGTTTGTTTTTTGTTCTTTTGAGATGAGGTCTTCCTACGTAGTCCAAGATTGCCTCAACATCATGATTCTCTTCTCTCAGCTTCCCAGGTAACTGGGACTACAGATGGTCACCACCATGCCTGGAGAATTATTCTTTTTTTTTTCTTTTTGTCTTTTTGAGACAGGGTTTTGCTATGCAGTTCAGGCTGGCTTTGAACTCATTTTGTAGTCCAGGCTGGCCTCAAAGTCACAGTGATCCTGCCTCAGCTTCTTGAATGCTGGGGTTACAGGCATGCCACAGCATTACTCTTTATACAGCAAAAGTTGGACCCAATGTCCATCATCTAATGAATAAATAATGAAACAAGGCACATATCTGCAATGGAATATTATTCAGCAGTAAATGGAATAATAGAGCTTACAACACCAATGAGCTTTGCAAAACATGCTAAATTGAAGAGGTATTCACAAAGATTAAATGATTTCATTTATATGAAATGTATAAAAGAAGGCAAACCCAAATGTATAAAAGGACTCTGGAAGACTGAGGTAGGAGGATCTTAAATTTGAACCCAGCCTGGACAACTTAACAATTTAGGGAGACCTTGTCACAAAATTTAAAAAAAAGAAAAAGGGCTGGGGATGTAATTTAGCAGGAAGGCCCTGAATTCAGTACTCAGTAACACACACACACACACACACACACACACACACACACACGTACGTAAGTTTAATGTTGTTTCCCCATAGGGTTCTTTTGGGATCAAGAAATAGTCCTAAAATTGTAATGTTACACAAGACTCTGAATGTCCCCCAAATTATTGCATGTATGGTTTTGTTGGATGAATTTTTATGGAATGCAATTTTTTTGAGACAGGACCTCCCTGTGTAGTTCAGGCTGGCCTTGAACTCACTATTTAGCCTAGGCTGGCCTCAAGCTCATGGTGATCCTCCTGCCTCAGCCTCCTGAGGGCTGGGATTAGGGCAAGTGCCACCATGCCTGTCCTGGAATGCAAATAATATTTAAATAAATAGAAACAAAAGAGAAAATCATGATACTACCTGTACCATTGGGAACATATAAAACATTGAATGTCTATCTTGAGGCACCTAGAACAGTAATATGTAACAAATATTAGCTAGTAGTACGTCTTTATTGCTCAGTATTAAAATTTAAAGCTAGTAGTACGTCTTTATTGCTCAGTATTAAAATTTAAGTTAAAACTAATTGACTCTAAAAGGTATAGGACTGGACTGAGGGTTTAGTTGAGTGCTGAATGTTTGCCTAGCAGGTGAGAAGCCCTGGGTTACAAGCCTCGGCACCACAAGAACAAATAAAACAAGAAAAACAAAACAAAACAAAAGTTTGCTACCGACATAAGTAAATATATTATTGTACAGGAATCCTAAAAACAGATACAAATATATATAACAATCAGTTGTTGGGATGGGGATTCAACTCAATGGCTCAGTACTTGCCTGGCAAGTGCAAGGTCCTGAGTTCGATTCCTGGCAGTAAAAAAATAAAAAATAAAAAAAAATAAAAATCAATTGTTTAATCAACATGTAATTTCAAATCTGTAAGTACATACAAAAATTCTTTGTTTAATCAACACAGGTATCAAACTTTCAGGTCAAGTGTAGTTTACAAATAAACAACAATCGGTCATCTTTCTGGACAAAAATGAAATTGGAGCCACTGTCCCATACCACGTGCCAACACACATGTGATTTAAATGTTTTTAAAAGTAGTACAGGGCTGGAAGTGTGGGTCAGCGGTACAGCGCTTGCCAAGCACGCTCAAGGCATGGGGGTGTGTGTGTGGGTAATATAGAGTTCAGGGGTAAAAAAAAAAACCATCTAGGGAAATCTGTATATAATCTAAAGCTTAAAGAGGATTTACTCTTTCTCTTTGGCGGTTCGAGAGGATGGAGACCCCACCCCTACCCAGCCTTTGGCGCGCTAGGCCAGCGCTCTAACGGTAAACTACATCCTTAACCACCTCGCCCCTTTAAAAAAAAAAAATCTTACTTTGAGACAGGTTCTTGACAAGTTGCCCAGGCTGACCTCGAACATAATTCCCGGAGAAAAGAAATTTTTCACTGCGGCACAATCGAAGAATGTTATCATTGCTGATTTGCAACCTAGGAGGGGAGGCTTTATTTAGTTCGTATGGTTAACTTCTAAGCAATGAAAACCACACGTTCAATAATATGATCCTACATACGTTTTTTATCTTTAACAATACAAAGAAATTTATTCAAGTAATGCATGAATGGGGTTCCACATTCCCAGTGGCTAAGTCTCTCCTCACTCCTTTCGCCCTTCCCATTTTTTCCTCTTCTATTCATAACATTCCCACACATACAAAGGACGACTGCAAGAGAGGGCGGGAAGAAAACTGCAGCTCCTTTTGTGCAGCCTCAGTCTTTCCCCTCTTTCATCCACCCTTCCACTCCCCTGGCTCCTGCCCTGTCTCTTACCATCCTTTCTTTGTATGCCCATTCTGCTCTTCCTCACCATATATTTCAAGAACCTCTTACTAATACTGCTTGTTTAAAATGAGAAACATTTATGCTTATAAATGGAGAGAACATTTCTAGACTCAAACTCCTGGGAGTGGGACTGGGGAGAAGATTAGTTTTCCACGTACACTCATTTCTACTGCTTGAATTTGGTTTTTCTTTTTTTTAACTACTAGACTCAGTTGTATATCCTTTTAACAAAAAGAACAAAAGTTCCTGACAAAAATAAAGAAAACTACACATCCGCAGAAGAAAAAAATTCAGGATTTACCAAAAGCATCGTTTAGGTTCCAAACACAATAAAATCGACGATGAAAATCTCAGCATGGTATAGAGAGACATAAAAAAGGCTGAAAGAACAGTCTAAATACAGCAACGGTGGGGTGGAGGAGACAGCGTCGCACGGATTGGTAGATTTACGAGCACGGCAAATCATTACAGAGCACTAGGAACGCGGGCAGAGGCAGGCATAAAGGCTTTTGTGAGCGTTCTAGGCGCGCCTCCCCACCCCCAGCCTTGCCGGTCTGGTTTCTCCAGTCCCACCGCGCGCGGGGCGTGGTCCCACCTCAGACTCCGCCCCCGGCGGTGGGCTCCTCCCCGACTTGGGTTCCGCCCCCCTCTGGGTTCCGCCCCCTGCCCCGCCCTTATCCCCCGCTCCGAGAAGCGGTTCTAAGCTGAGCCTCTGCCTCAGGGCTTCTTTCTGCCTCGGCTCCGCTGGATGAGCCCATGATGGGGTCCACCTGCACCCACGAGGGAGGGAATTGGAATTGCTCTCCCTGGAGGGGTCCAACGTGGCTGATGCCCCAGCGGAAGCGGAAGTAACGTCAGCGGTCCCCCGCTTCTTTTCGGGCTCTGGTCACCCGAGACCTTACTCGGAGGTGGTCGGTCTCGACCCGGCTTCGGTGAGGCGGGGTGACGGGGATGCACCGGCCGTAGAAGGGGATGGGGAAAGGGCGAGTTGGGCCCGAGCCCCCGAAAGACCTCTTCCGAGAGGCCCGGCGCGCCCATCCCCGAGACCCCCGGCGTGGCCGTGTCCGAGAGGCCACTCGGGCCGTGCGTCCCCTGCAGGTGCCGGGTCGGGAAGGGTCGTCGGCGCTCGCCCTGCAGTCTGCATGCACGGTGCACACCCCTCTTCAAAGCCTCCGCAGTAACCTTGCTGGATTTTTATCCCCAGCCTCTGGGATCACGCTGACTTAAGACACTGCGTCCTCCAGCTTCGGGGACCCGAAGGTTTCCGCGCGTGCAGGTGACCACTGGGTGAAAGATGGGTCGGGGGTTGGGGGCTCTTATTCCTTTTTTTTTAAAAAAAAATGCAGAAGAATGTTTCATCTGAGATTTTCGCTTTCTTTGTGCGTCGCGTATTTATTGGTGACACATGGTATTCCGCTAGAAAGATAAAGATGCAAAGATGCATTCCTAGATGCTGGGGCTGCGTTTCATGGTAGAGAGCTTGCAAGATTCTTAGGTGTCTTCGGGTGCATAGATCTGCATGTAAACCCAAAATGGGTCTTACTGTTGAAGACAAGAAGAGAGAAAGCCAGAGAGAGAGGGAGAGAGGGAGAGAGGGAGAGAATGAGAATGGAAAGTATGCAAAGCAACCGCGCTCCATCACTACACTACACCCTGAGCCCAGTACTAACTTTTTTGGTCTCCACCTCCGTATGAAGGATTAAACCCAGGGCCTTTGGAATGAGCTACACGCCCGCCCCACCCCCCTCCTTTTTTGAGACAAAGTCTGGCTAAATCCCTAAATTGCCCGGGCTGAGCTCCAACTTCCATCTTCCTGCCTCAGCCTTTCAGAGTGCGGGGATTACAGGCGTGTGCCACGCCCAGCTAAAGCTGAGGTATTTTTATTTGAAGCAAGTCGGTCCGTAACCACACACACACACGCACACGCACACACGCACACTCACATTCTCACACACACACTCACACACACGCACACTTACACAGACTTTTAAAACAGACCTCCAGGAGTTAAGCACGGAGGCTTTGTTAGGCTGTTACTACACTTAGCCGAATTAAACAGTTGCTTTCTCTCCTAAAAAAAATGTATTTTGTTATGTCCCCCTTGTAGCAACCTCCCGCGATGAATGTAATCATTATATACTGCCAACATGTACTCATAAAAATTTTAAAAGTTAAATAAAATGCATTTTTATGAACTATTTAAGAGTAAATTGAACATTGCAGGCATGATACTTCTACATAATTGGTAATACATCACCTAAAGATGAGGATATTGGCCCATTAAAACAATACTAATATTTCAACCAAGAAAATAACATGAGGGGCCCCGGGGATGTAGCTCAGCAGGCACCGCGCCTGCCTGGCAATCTGAGTTTGATTCCTGGTACAAAAAAAAAAAAAAAAAAAAAAAAGAAAAGAAAAGAATGTTAGAACTGGGAATGTAGCTCAGTGGTGGAGTGCTTGCTTAGCATGCTCAAGGCCCTGGGTTCAATCCCTTGAACCACCTAAACACAGCAAAATTGTGTAATATGTACTTTATATAAAATAAAAAGTTTGCACATTGTTCCCAAGTAGGCTTTTGGGTGTTTTTGGATCTAAGATCCCTTCCCATTTCTTTTCTTTCTTTTTTTTCTTTGAGACTATCTTTTAGAGCTTTTAATGATAATTAGCCAGCTGTGGCACAAGAGCCATAGGTTTGCCACCAGTGATGTAGACCATGTTGACCTTGAAATCTTTTTTTTTTTTTTTTTTTGGCCTTGAAGTCTTGATCTTCCTGCCTCAGCTTCCTGAGTGCTGGAATTACTTCAAGCCTACCTTACTGTAAAGTTCTTGTATTGAAAAGTTTTAATATCCATTAGGGTCTTTGAACCTGGAGCAGTCACCATTGTCTTTCTGTTGTATTGACTTTTTGAAGAGTCATATATTCTTCAATAAGGTCACACATTTTGATGTGTGTGTTTGTGTTTTCATAGTGTATTTAAGTGTTTTTCCATCACTTATATTTCCTGTGTAGTGATGAATAACCATGCCTGATTAAGAACAGTGAACAAAATTCAACTTAGGGATGTCCTTAGAGAACTTATAAATTAGCAAAGAGAGTAAGCATATGATTAATAGCAAATAATAACTATTAGAACAAATTGATCAGAGTTTTAGAAGTAAAATATTACATATGCTGTTGGTAGATGGGAGTCAGTGAACGTAAGAAAAGTGCATTCTATTTAAGCTGAGACCAAAAGACAGAGCATAGGAATTAGCTGTGTTAAAAGGAAAGAGAATGGGAGGTAAAGAAAGCTTCAGTGTGTATTGGCTACTTACGTTACATTTCTACACTGAGAGGAGGGCATCTGTATTAACCCTAGGTTTGACAGTGCAGACAATGTAGTGTTTTTCTTTGGGAGAATATATCTGATCTTCAGTATATAACTGACAGGAGAATGAGTGACAGCTGGTCAAATGATATAACTGAGTTTAGTAAGCCAGGCGCAGGGGCACAGACCTATAATCCCAGCAGTCTGGGTGGCTGTGGGAGAAGGAGTGTAAATTTGAGCCCAGCTGAGTCAACAGTGATGTAGTGAGACCCTGTCTCAAAAAAAAAAAAAAAAAAAAGGACTGGGATGTAGCTTAGTGTGAAGGCCCTGGATTGATTGATTGATTGATTGAAATTTTTTTTTTCTGGTACTGGGAATCGAACTCTCGACCTTGAGCTTGCCAGGCAGGCGCTGTGCTGCTGAGCTAAATCCCCAGCCCCTGATTGATTTTTTTTGAGACAGGGTCTCGCTATGTAGTTCACGCTGGCCTTGAACTCACTATGTAGTCCAGGTTTGCCTCAAACTCATGGTGATCCTCCTGCCTCAGCCTGCCAAGTGCTGGGATTACAGGTGTGTGCCACCATGCCTGGCTAAGGCCCTGGGTTTAATTCCTAGTAACTGCTCCCTCCCCCAGCCAAAGAAAGATAGTATAAATATATTTTTTTTTCATGAATAGGAAATTAATTCAAGGAATTAATGAGAGTCAACAATTGAACATTGAAAAATAAATCCTTTGTGAACATTCATTTATATTATCTATCATAGGAAATGTTTATGTTCCTAAATAGAGTCAAAGCCTCTTTATGTGGTTTTCAGTCCATTTTGGGGTTCTTGCTATCCAAACTAGGACTCCATTTCCCTGCGGTAATGTTCCAGTTCTAGTTCCGGGAGTAACTGGTCCTGTGCAGCTCCTTATAGACACTAACTTGTCTAGGAGTTTGGAATTACTCCATAGGTAAAAGACCAGGACACTCCGCTGCCAGTGTGCCCTGGTAAAGAGCTTTGAAGAGACCCTTTGAAGGGATCCGTACCACCTTCTGTATTCACCTCTTAGGGGTCCCAATAAGCTATCTGGACTTACAGAAAAAATTGATGAGAAGTTTCTGAAGATAAAGCTGATGAGGGTCCTGAAGATAAGGCTGGTAAGGGTGCACACATACCGCTGGCAGCAGAGTTTACTGGAGCAAGAATTTGAGCTATTGACTATAGCTATTAATTTTGTGCATATGAATACTCTATAACATTACACTAATGGGTGAAGTGTGCATTAATATAAAAGTAAAGGTATTTAACCAGGCATGCTAGCACATGGCTGTAATCCTGGCACTTGGAAGGCCAGCCTGGGCAACATAGTGAGTTCAAGGCCAGCCTAGACTGCATAGCAAGACTTTGTCTCAAAAAAAAAAAGTAAAAGTGTTTTATCACTGTTATTTGAAATAGTCCTTACCTTAATTAGAAACAGCCAAATATGGATCAACAGAATAGGTAAATTGTGGTATACTTCTATTACTGGACTCCTCTATAGCAGTGGTGGTGAACCTATGGCACGCGTGCCACAATAGGCTGTTTGTATCATTGAGAGCTCTAAAAAGGTTTGCCATCACTGCTCTATAGCAAATAGAAGGAATACATTAATAGTAGATGCCACAGTATAGATGAACTCACTAGTATATTTTGTTTGTTTTGCTAGAGATAGAATTCAGGGCCCTGTACTTTCCAGGCAAGCATTCTATCCCCTTAGGTGTAGCTGACATTTTGAATAAAAGGTGCTAGACACAAAAGAATACCTACCCCAACCAAGGGAGGGATTCAGACTTGATTAGAAAACATGTGTAGCCGGGCATGGTGGCGCATGCCTGTAATCCCAACACTCAGGAGGCTGAGGGAGGAGGATCCTTGCGAGTTCGAGACCAGCCTGGGCTACAAAGTGAGCTCAACGCCAGCCTGAACTGCAAAGTGAGACTCTGTCTCAAAAAGCCAAAAATAAATAAGTTAAAAACGTGTATATTTATCTGTTGGTGCCTAACAAATTTTACCAAATTTTGCAGTTTAAAGTAACAGATTTATCTCGTAGTTACTTTGGGTCACAAGATCAGTTGTGGATCATGTAGGGTTTCTGCTCAGGATCACCTGAGGGCAGCCAGGGTTTTGGTAGGGTTTGTTCCCATGTGGCTTAGCTAAGGAAGAGTCTGTCTCCATCCTCAGTCAGGTCGTTGGCAAAATTCATTTCTTTGTGTTTATAGGACTTGTTACTTGTCAGTGGAGCCTGCCTCAGCTCTTAAGAGAGAGTACCTGTAATTTTTGTTGCTTGGTCTCTTCCTTCAATAAGTCAGCTACCAGAATCTGTACTTCAGAGGTCTAATTGATCTTTAAAAACTTCGAGTAGATTGTGAAGGTGCATGCCTATAATCCCAGCTACTTGGCAGGAGGATCACAAGTTCAGCCACAGCCTCAGCAAACTAGTGAGACCTTGTCTCAAAATAAAAAAAAGGGCTGGGGATGCAGCTGAGTCAGAGGCCCCGCGTTTAGTCCCAAGTACTGAAAAAACAAAACAAACAAACCAAAAACTAAGAAAAACAAAACCTACTGGCTGGGGACATATCTCAGTACTAGAGTGCCTACCACGTATAAAGGCCCTGGGTTCAATCCTGTGTTGCCAAACAGACAGACAGACAAACAAACTTTCCACCTGATTAACTCAAAACCAACTTACTTGGAACCTTAATGACATCTGCAGAATCCTTCATATTTGCCATATTCTCTTTTTTTTTTTAATTTTTAAAATTTTTTTCTGGTACCGGAAATAGAACTCACGGCCTCACGCTTGTCAGGCAGGCGCTGTGCCGCTGAGCTAAATCTCTAACCCCCATGCCATATTCTCTTGGCTGGAAAGAAATCACAAGTCTTGGATACCCTGAAGGAGAGGGAATTACTCAAGGTCATATAAATACCAGAAAGTGGAGGTCGTGGAAGTCCTCTTAGGGTGTATTGTCCGTAGTACAGGTGTAGTTCATGAAAAGTAGAGAAACTTCCTGTTTTCCTCTGAGCATGAGCTGGGCTACAGTCACCAGATGAGTATGAGCAGTACTCCACAGCACAGGCTACCTAAAGCTGGGCCAATATGTGCAGGAATTGGGCAGCACTCCATGCCCGAGGTGTGGGCAGCAGGGGTACAGGATCTAGGCTCACTGCGAGCAGATGTACAGTGTGAGTTGGATCAGACGCAGCTTGCCTCCTAGAATGCACCATGACTGGATCATGAAGGAAACAGGAAGGAAGAGAAAGGGAAGTAAGAAGAACCAGGAGGTATTACATGGATGTACAAATGACCCATGATTAAGGTAATCATTATGTATGGCAAACATGTGCTCCTAAAAATAAAAAGTAAAAAATAAAAAATGAGGGATACAGGAAACTATACATGAAACATACATGTGCCAAGTGTGGTGCTGCATACTTGTAATCTTAGGGAGGCTGAGGCAAGAGGATTTTAAGTTCAATCCCAGCCTAGGCAACTTAGTGACTTAGCAAGACCTTGTCTCAAAATAGAAAATAGTTTGGGAATGTAGCTGAGTGCATAGGCCCTGGGTTCAATCCTTAGTGCTGGAAGAAGGGAGAGGAGAGGAAGGGGAGGGAAAAGGAGGAGGAGGAAGAAGAAGTAGCAGCAGCAGCAGCAGCAGCAGCAGCAGGAGGAGGAATGTGGTGATGTGCTTCTGTTACTTGAATTCCTTTGAATGTCTGGTATGCACATTAGAAGGGCCAGGGGATGGTGGTGACAAACAGGGACTGAGGTTGCCTAGGGGTGGTATGTCCTAGGCACATGGTATGGCAGAACACAATGAGATGTTCTCACCCCGTCCTGATGACCCATCATACATCAGTGGGATCCAGTGGAAATTTCTCTTTCTTCAGTGTCCCTCTAGTCCCCTCTGGCAAAACCTAAGAGGTTCAGGGTAAAGGGAATGACGAAAGAAACCAGTGTATTCCATACCAAGTGTTGGAGGGGAAGTTTTAGCTGAGATGAATAAACATCTCACTGGCACAGCCAGATACTCATATGTACCCTTCTACACATACTTTAAGTCCTGTATAGTAATAAAACAAGTCTATATTTGTAGTGAAGAAAATAAAAAGTTGTAACTCTTCCCTAAAGTGAGAGGATGCATAGTCCCAGTAGATGTAACACCATCACAGGCCATACTAATTACTCTTCCAACTTAGTCATGTTGTCAGCGACTGTTTTTACTTCAAGACTAAATTATAGCTGAGTGCAGTGGAGCATGTCTGTAATCCTAGCACTCTGGAAGCTGAGGCAGGAAGATCTCAAGTTTGAAGCCAGCCGAGGCTAGCTTGGCCTGAGCGACATAACAAGATGGAACCCCCACACACAAATAGCTAGTTGTTGCGCTTGCCTATAATCCTAACACTTTGGGAGGCTGAGACTGGAGGATCAGAAGTTTGAGCCCAGCCTGGGTAACTTTGCTACTTACGAAGACCCTTTCTCAAGATAAAATGAAGGATGTAGGTTACTGCAAAGGCCCGGGGTTCAGTCTCCAGCACTGCATGTGTGCACATGCATACACACACACATATAAACTCAGTCTTTAGTACTTGTATGTAATACACATGTAGAGAAGCTTGAAGTGACTGGCTAGTTTATGCAAACACGTGCATAAGAACAAACACATGATGCAAGCAAAGAAAAAACATGTAAAACTACCACTGCTCTTGTTTCTGTGCTTGATATCCATGGTTGCATCAACTGCTGATTCTGTCCTTCCTTTCCCGTTAGCCAGAACATTATCTGTTCTGGGTTCTGTACCTGATGGAGTAACCCAAACCTTCATTCCCAGAGGGTCTAACTATTCCATTCCTCTGTTTTTTCAGTTATAAGTTCCCATTAACCTTTTCTTTTTTCGTTTGTTTGTTTGTTTGTTTGTTTTTGTTTTTCTTCCGGTGCCAGGAATCAAACTCATAACGTTGCGCTTGCCAGGCAGGCGCTGTGCTGCTGAGCTTAATCCCCAGCCCCTAACCTTTTCTTTGTAACACAGAAGTATCTAAGGCTCTAGAACTGCCCCAACTGTATAGCTGTACTGCAGTTTCTCTTTGGTTCTTGGGATCAGTCACTGTAGCCAGATTAACCTCCATTCATTTTGTCTCTGGGTATAAGGATTTGGTGATATATGAAGCCTGCGATGACTAGGTGGCAGTCTCATTTCCAGTGTTTCCTGAAGAAAGGCCGCATTAGGGAATTAAATTCCTAGACCTGAGAGCAGAGATTCCGTCTGTGAGACTGGGGGTGTTGCTCAGTGGTAGAGCACCTGCCTAATACATGTGAAGCCCTGGGTTCAATTCCCAACACGTGAAAAAGTTGGGGATGTAGCTCAGCTATATAATGCTTCCCTAATGTGTGAGGCCCTGGGTTCAATCCTCAGTACTGAAGAAACAAACAAAGTTAACACTGCACAAAAGTAAAATAAAAATTCTGTTTGTGGAGCCAATTCCACATTCACTCATGCATTGCTCTACTTGTGTTCTGGCTGTGGGGAGACAGTACCATGGGAGGCTCCCTGACTCACAGCGGATACGCTTGCCTTCTACAGGCTCTGCATGGAGGGACTCAGCCAACCACCAGCTGGAAGAAGATGTTACATTTCTGCTGACAGGCACTATGTTGTAAGGGCGGTGGTGATGGCATCTGCACTGGGCATTTTTTCTTGTCATTATTTCCTGAACAATGCAGTCTAACAAGCATTTACAAGGCGTTTATGTCGTGTTAGGTATTAAGTCTTCCAGAGATACAGTAATTAAAAGCCGGGTGTGGTGGTGGCACAAACCTATAATCCTAGCACTCAGGAGGCTGGGCATGAGGATCACTATGAGTTTGAGGCCAGCGTGGGCTAGATAGTGAGTTCAGGCCCAGCTTAGACTACACAGTGAGACCCTGTGTCAAAAAAAGGGCAGAAACAAAAAAGAGATGATTAAGGTATCAGCAGGATGTGCACAGTGCTGAGCAAATACTGTGTGGTTTTATGTAAGGGACTTAAGCATCTGTGGATTTAGGTATCTGTATCAGGTCCTGCATCCGATCACTCGTGTATACTGAGGAAAAACTGCTATGTCCTGTGAGACGGAGTGCCATCCATTCTGAGGTCTAGCTCCCTTTGGCCCCACAAGTGAGCGCCCCCTCTCCCCGCCATGCTGGAGATGGACCCCAGGGCCTTGTGCATGCTAGCAGGTGTTCTGCCACTGCACTCTTCCTGAAACCCTGCACATTTGCATCAGGACAGTCTGCCTTTTGTGGAGATCAGTTGCTCCTAAGTGAGGGCATATCTAACCAGACCAGATGCTCACAGGGATGTGTTATAACGCCTTTGCGTTAGAGTGGGCCCCTTTTGTCTTCCCCTCCTTCTCTCCCTTCCTTCCTTCCTTCTTTTCTATACTGTGGATTGAACACAGGACCCAATACTTGCTAGACAACTGTTCTTCAACAGACCTACACCCCCAGCCCTTTGTACTTTTTATTTTTAGACAGAACCTCACTAAAGTGCCCAGGCTGGCCTCAACCCTGTGTTCTCCTGCCTCAGCGTCCCAGGTGACTGGGCTTACGGGTATGTGCCATCACACCTGGCTGAAGAGGGTTTCTTGATTAGAAGTAATCAAAGCTGGGCCAAGGATATAGCTCAGTGGCATAGTGACTGCCTGGCAAGTGCGAGGTCATGAGTTTGGTTCCCAGAACCGAAAAGAAGAGGAAGAAGAAGAAATAATTAATGCTTTGTGGGCCTGATGAGGTAGCTCAGTGGTAGAGCACTTGCTACCATGCATAAGGCCCTGGGTTCAATCTGTAGTACCACCAAAAAAAAAAGAAAAAACAGACAGGAAGGAAGGAGAGAAAATAGCGCTGTGTGGATGCCGTGATGATAGATGAAGCAGAGATGAAACGTTTTTGTGATTGCACAGGTGGTGGCCCTTGCAGAGTCATTATTAAGAGAAAAACCTGAGCATATTCCAGTGACATAAACTTTTGTCACTTGCATGCTTTAAAACCCTCCATGTAGAGGCTCAGTGTAACCAACTCATAATAAGCTCACTAGTGAAGCTCCTGGCTGGTCTGCTGGGGAGGGTGGCCCCGGTGTGGATGCTTACTGTGGATTTCTGCTCTTTGCATGTCAGGCTGGCAGCCAGAGTGCTAGCTAGGTCAGGTTGGATAAGAAGTTCACATTGTGGAACAGTGAATAGCCTTCATGTTTGTCACGTGGCAGTTTTGTTCATGGGCTCCTTGGTCAAGCACCCATTGGAGTGGCAGGGAAAAGTAACAGCATCACAGAGTATATAATTTTGCCCACATGATTGTTGATGATCCCCTTTCTTCCTTTTGCATTGCATGCTGGGAATGGAACTTACGCCTGCTAGGCAAGTCTTCGTTGGTGAGCTACACCCTCAGCCCAGCGATCTTATTTCTAGTGAATTCCCTTTGGTGAGCATTCACATAGGTCACAGATACCTTACAGCCTGCATGCTTTCCGAAGTCATCATCATGTCATTCACAGGCTTCGGTGTCACCAGCCGTGTATTTCCACATGTTGACCATGCAGCGAAGCCATTGGAAGCATTCAGGAATCAGTGGGGTGCTTGAGGCCAGAGAACAGCCGTGTGGCTGTGTAGGAACACTGCTTGAGGTTCTGCCCCTGGGAGATTTTCCCTCAGTGCAGTCCTGTAGTAGCATAGCTCAGCGGGACTGTAGCTCTTCAGCTTTTTACTTTCAGGTGGTGCTTGCATGTCGTGAGGTCCCATCTGTAAGGGGGTTTTGTGTTACTCCTCAGGGCGGAAGGAAGCCAAAGGCAGGGGTTGAATAGGATAAGATGTGCAGCTGATGTCAGTGTTCAGAAAATCTTTGCCAACCGGGTGTGGTGGCAGATGCCTGTAATCCCCACGCTGGGGAGGCTACGGGAAAAAGTTGAAGGTCAGCCTGGCAAATTAATGAGACTGTCAAATAGTTAAAAAGGGCTGGAGATATAACTCAGCACTTCTTGGGTTTAGTCCCCAGTACTGAAAGAAAGAGAGGAAGAAAGAGAGAGAAAAGAAAAAAGAAAAGAAAAGAAAAGAAGAGAAAACAAGTAGATAGCTGGAAGAGAAAGATTGGTCAGAGTCTTTGCTCACTGGAAGTGTCAGCTCGCTGTTTCATATGCTGTGATGCTATTGCCCAAGTGTATGGCTCAGAGATTCCCAGAGCCTTCACTTTATTTTAGGAAGCTCAGGCTATGTGATTACTTGATGTCCTCAGTCTGTACTATGTGTCAGGGCTAAGCTGTTTCTCCAAAGGAGCGTAGCAGTTGGGCGTGGTAGTGTATGCCTGTCATCCCAGAACTCTGGGAGGGAGGATGAGGCAGGAGGATTGGAACCCAGCCTGGGCAACTTGATGACTTAGTGAGACTCCACCTGAAAATAAAAAATAAAAAGGGCTCAGTGTGAGAGCTTTGGGTTCAGTCCTCATTACTGTAAACAAACAAACAAACATACAAACCAATAAATAAGTGGAAAATAGTTTCCTGAGGAAGATTTGCATATTCCATCCCGCTAGAGGGCTGACCTCCTAGTCTCCCATTGTGCTTGCCAGGAGGTGGATGCTAAGAGAATCCTGCTTTTCCTGGAGCTGTCAAGTGTGACTGGATCTGTTAGGTCATTTGCACTGAGTGCCTGAGAAGCTCACAGTACATCCCGAGCTTTTTGCAGAGTGCTGTCTTGCCTTGGTCCCACTTGAAAATGGAAAACATCATGGCAGCTGTGTAGTTTGGTTAAAGCACATTTAGCGTGGTGAATGTTACAAGAGAAGGCAATGCTGTCTTCTGTCACCGTTTGTGACTTCGTGAATGAACCTGAAAGGAATAAGCCAGACACAGAAAGACGCTTCCTGATCTCCCTAAAATAGGTAGTCTGAAAAGGAACTCATGGAAATAACAAATAATTACCAGGAATTGGGGGAGGGGATGTTACCAAATTACACAGTTTCAGTTAGATTAGAAGAATGAGTTAAGGGCATCTGTTGTACACTCTGATGATTATGATTTATAACAGTGCATTACATCTTTGAGAATTGCTAAGAATAGATTTTAAGTGTTCGTACCACAAAGAAATGATAATATGTGAGATAATGTGTATCAGCTCATATTAGATACTCCACAACGGATATGTATTTCCAAACAATGTACTGTACACTGTTGTACAATTTTTGTCAATTAAAATAAATAAAACAGAGCATAAGATAAAGTGCAGATATATATAAGGTTATTTTAAGGTTTCAGCATAAGTTACAGAGATTGTTTACAGAGTTCTGGGTACAAATACAATTTAAGAATCAGGTCAGATATGTTGGTACATTGCTGTAATCCCAGCACTTTGGGAGTCTGAGGCAGGAGGATCAAAAGTTCAAGTTCCATATGGGCAACTTAGTGAGCCCCTCTTTTATTTTATTTATTTTTTGACTTTTTTTTGTCTTTTTGAGACAGGGTTTCACTGTGCAGTTCAGGCTGGTTTTGAACTTACTTTGTATCCCAGACTGGCCTTGAACTCCCAACAATCCTCCTGCCTCAGCCTTCCAAGTGCTGGGATTATAGGCATGCGCCACCACACCTGCCTGACCCTCTTTTAAAGTAAAAATAAATAAATAAATAAATAAATAAATAAATAAATTTTAAAAAGGGGCTGGCTGGGAATATAACTCAGTGATAGAGTGGCCCTGGGTTCAATACCAAGTATCTCCTTCCCCCACAGAGAAATTATTTTTGTCATATATTTGAAAAAAAAAAACCCAAAACTTGTAAATCTGAGGGAGTTTTGTGAGATATTAAATCAATAAGAATTTTTTTTGACTTATTTTTTTTCTATCACTTATTAACTGGACTGAGTTGACTAAGTCATTTAGCTAAGATGTAAACATTTCTCAGCACTTAGAAGACTAAGCTCTATTTAGGGTTTTTTTTTTTTTTTTTTTTAACAGTATTTGAGATTGAACCCAGGGCTATCTCACTGAGCTACCACTCTAGCCCTTTTCTATTTTTCATTCTGAGACAAGGTCTCACAAAGTTGCTAAGTTGTCTAGGCTGGGTTCAAACCTGCAATCGTCCTGCCTTAGTGAAATGGATGGATGGATGGATGGATGGATGGATAAATAGCTAGATAGCTAGATATAATTCAGGTGGGGTTTTTGGTGTTATTTTGTTTGTTGTTACTGGGTTGAACCCAGGACCTTGGGCATGCTAGGCAAGCACTGTACTGCTGAACTGCATCTCCAGTCTAATTCAGTTTTTTTGGAGGGTGGTATCAGGAATTGAACTCAGGACCTTGCACTTGCCAGGCAGGTGCTTGTGCCACTGAGCTATATCCCCAGCCCCCCAATTCAGTTTTTAAATGTAACTTCAATTCTGTGCATAACTCACGGGAAACAGTTGAATGTTTTCTTGAGTGATAGCAGCAGACATGTTTATCGTGAGCTCTGGAGTGTGCATGTGTGTGTGTGTGTGTGTGTGTGTGTGTGTGGTGCTGGGTATTAAACCTACAGACTCATGCATGGTAGGCATGAGCTGTACTGCTGAGCTACACTCCCGTCTCTGTGGTAACATAGCCCAATTTTATCTCCTGTTTGTCCCTCACCATTTCTTAAGCCTCTTACTGATATT